AATCAGGTGAATATGTGCTTCCCTTCAAAACAAATGAATAATTATAAGTTACAACTGTTATCTAATTACAGGTCCGCAAATACGGTCAATCACCATTATTGGTAAAACAATTACGGTCAACTTGGTGCAATGGATAATTGTTACTTTGTTTATGATATTTCCATCTCTGTGAAGATCTGATTACAATTGGAGCTTGCTTTGTCTCATTGGTAGTGATCTCTTTGAAGCAATTGGATTTATATATGAAAAAATGAATTTGTTTCTCGAAACTCGACCAGTCAATAAATGATTATGGAGATCATGTGAGATCACACAAGAAAGCACATTTTGATATGAGATGTCAGTAGAAAAAAAAAACAGCATAAGAAGTACAAAATAGAGTAATAGAACTAGGAACAACTCCATGAACGGTATCAAAAACAATGGTAGAACGCTACGCCGAAACTGACTGGATAGTGAAGAGGCATCTGCAATAAGGGTTCGGATAATAGGGGTAGCGCAATATAGTCATAAAAAATAAAAATTACCTGCCCGAAGCTGTTTTCGTCGTTGCAACGGGTCGCGAAGTCGTCATCGAATGGAATAAATGCTTAAAAATCATTCATTAATATTGCTTCTTGAAAGCTGAATACAACATAATTAGCAGACTTCGCCTGGATATTACCTTAAAGTAGCGTTCTATGATACTGTTCTAAAGGAAACTGCACTCGGCTAGGAGTTTCAACTAAAGAATCTGACGGAACCTCGCCGTCCTGGCGGACCGCCCCATCATAATCGCTGGATTCGTTCTGTCCTATCGCTATGTTTCGTAACACGCAGCATGCTACTACTATTTGAGCGGCTCTATCTGGAGAGTACCTTCAATGGGATCGATTAGAATGATGACAATAAGGTAAGCAATGTTAGGCATTTCACCTGCACTCTCCATGTAAGATGTGGAATTGCCGCTTCAGAACTGCAAAGGCCCGCTCGACACGCGCGCGAGCGGAGCATACAGCTCTGTTGTAACGCTCTTCTGCAGAGAGTTACTTGTGATAAAAATTCTTAATAATAACCGATAATGGGTACCTTTCACATTTTTTTGTGGTGTTCAAGGGCTTCAGCAAGAATACCTCAGCTCCATAGGCTGAGTCCCCTATGAGAACACCACTGAGGTCCTTA